ATGGGGGACCCCCAAGATGAGTCGCCCTTAGGACTGCTGGACCGTAAGTGATCCTCGGTGTTGGTCTAGGGCTTAAGGTACATAATTGCACCATTTCCACTCACAATCACTCACTACCCTAAACCTAGAACTTCTAGGCTTTGGTCCCTTGATACTTTTGGGAGACTTCTGTAGGTGGTTCCCTAAACCGCCAAAATTCCCAAATTTACCCAAAATACCCAAATTGGTTCAAAAATCATTTCAAATACCTTGAAAACACCCAAACTACCCAAAATCACCAAAATTTGCCAAATTACCAAAATACCCTTCCTCAGCCCAAAATTCCAAAAATTCCAAAAAAATCCCAAAAATTCCCGAAACCTCCTAAATATTCCTAATTTCATTTTCCTTAACTCCACATAACCCAATTTGGCCAATTTGACCATCTTTGACCAAAACCCCAAAATTGCCTTTTAAAGACCCCATTTTTCCCCAAATCTACCTCAAATGTCTATCAACTTAGTCTCAATTTCCCCCAATTTCAATTCTAAACTCAAATTGACCCTTGATATGACCAATCTAGACCAAATCCAAGCCCAATTTATTAATCATTTCAGACCAATTTTGATTTAGATCAAAGCCCCAATTTTGGCTACATGACCTAATCTCATCAAATTGAATACCTTAAACCCAAAATTGGCACCCAATTTATGTTTAAAACTCTTCATGAGATCCCTATTGACCATTTACAACAATCAATTTGGACTTGATCCAAGGCTAGCCCAACTTAGACCCAAACCGAGCTCAATATATCCAAATTGTTCAAACTTCAAAATTCCTCCAAATTGACTATCCAATTGAACTCAAAACCACTTTCATCCTTCACCAAAGTTGTTCATTATGATCATATACACCAAATGAAATATTAATTTGGGCCAATTAACATGGCTAGCCTAGGCCAAACCCAAATTTTGGTCATTTGCACTCACTTTGACCCATGCACTAAATGTGGCCTATCCACCATAAAGCCATCAAATTAAATCCACCACAGCCATTAGTTGGACCCTAAGACTGAGCCAAAAAACATCTAACCCAAGCTAGATGAGCCATGGACTAAGGGTCCCTCAAATTAATGGATTTGATTTCCATTTTTGCTTAGGCTTAAAATATCTTTTCTAAAACAATACCTCATTGCATTAAATTGCTGTAAAAACTGTAAAATATTCTCCTGGGTTCCCTGAGCTCCTAGCCACCTCCCCTAGCCATGGCCGACCGATCTAGTCATCGGAGAAGCCAAAACCCGGGGCCACCCCCTCTTGAATTTCATCCAAATCAAACCTAGAGGCCACCTCACTCAAATCAAAAGATAGAGCTCCTCTGCCCTCCCTCCACCTAAGCATCACAATACACCCAAACATTGGCCCTAAGAGCCACCCCTCTGCCCTCCACGGCCATGGGAGGAGTGCTAAAAATTTCTTAGAGAGACTTCTCCAAATTGATCCCAAAGCCTATTTGAGACCTCCTCAGTGCAATTCAACCACCATATTGCCCTGAATCCCCTTGCCGGAGCCCGATTCTGAGCTTGAATCTCTGCCTAAAACCAAGACAGAGCTCTCCACACTTATACACTCCACAAAAATCAAATTAAACACACCCACACCTTCATCACAGTGAGAGAAGGAAAAGCCCCATCAAATCCTCCTTCCATAGAGACTCTAGCATAGCTTAAGACCAACACCTGAAATCCACCTTGGTCGAATTTGTACCTAGGATTTGCACCATAGCCAGAGGCTTAATCCCTAGCCTCCTTGGACGCCAACGAACATGTAGAGCATCTCTGATCAAAGCTTCCCTTCTTAGAGCCAAGTTTTTAAACCTCTGCTCCTCCCGAGCCTATTTTGATTCTCCATTTGATTAAGCTTAATTTAATTGCATGATTACCATATGGATATTTTTGTCTCACTTAGACGAGTCCATAGAATCAAACTCGAAGTGATTTGGTTGAGTATAGGCCGAGATCTTAAGGTTTTAGTGTGGACAGTCATGGGATCACTCTATCGGGGATGATGATGGGCCATCCGATCGCGCGTGTATCGGATGGACGGAGGACATCGAGCCAGACAACGCTTCCTCACATGAACTGTGAATCGAGTCAGCGGCTATGTGGATGGTGGCGTCCAACCAGAGCGCGCCACACGTTCCTCCAGAGCTGCCGAGGATACAGTCAGCGCCGCACATTCAAATAGAAAAATAGGGATTTTCTTATTTAAATAAATAACCCTAGCTTTAAAAATTCATATTTTGGTGTAGAAAAATCATAAAAATAAAATAAAATACCCTCTTGCTCAACGAACAGAGGAGAACAATGTGGAAATGATTTGGAGTCCATTTGATGCATATATTATTTTTAATATTATTTTTAATTAATTTTAATTAATTAAACACTGATTTGAATGTTTTGATTCTCCAGGCATGTAGGAATATCACCATGGCTTGAGATTTTTGCATGTTGTTGCCTCTGTCTTAGGGAACATCCTCTGATTTTTCCAAAGTTAGAGAAGGTCCCTAGACAGAGATCCATATTTTTCAAATTTATTTCTATTATTTGCATAAATTAATCATGATAATTAGCATGTTGGTTAGAAAATTCCACGAAAATTTTGTAAGGTTCACTATGACTAGAGGACCCTTTGGAAATAATTTCATGAGTTAAGTCATGAAGGATGCACTTAATCTTCCCCAACCCTAAAACATAAAGAAAATTGATTTTGGGTTACATAAAAATTTAAATGACTTAATTTTTAATCTCCACTAAAATTTAAAGTCTAGAGAACTCCCCATAAACATTTCAAAACATTTGGAGTTCATTTAATATCTCAAATTGAATTTTCAAGTTAATTAACATTTTTGGCACTAAAATGATTTTTAATAATTAAAATATATCTTGAAAAATTATAAAACTTGGTTTTGGAGTTCTCTGTGATCATAGAAATTTTATAAAAATAAATTTGAAGTAAAAATAATAACTTCATTTTTAGCCTATTTAAAATTTTTAAAATAATTAAAAAATGGTAAAAATCACAAAAACAATAAAATTCATGGAAATATTCTATATTATTTTCTAAGCACTTAGGAATAATTGAAATATTTTTTCTAATTTTCTAAATAAACATATTGAATTTGATTTCATAAGGCAATGTTTGAAGAAGGAGCGGTGGTTGAATTTCATTTCAACTTCGATCAAATCGAGCTAGACTATGAAAGCTCAGCTTTAACTGTGGTAAACAAAGATGAATTTTGTAAGTAGAGGCCTGTGTTGAAATTCAAAAATAAGAATCAATTTGTTGATGAGAAGAAAAGGAAATTAGAAAGAATTGACAAGGCTGAATCAAACAATGCTGCGATTAAGCGGATGAAGTCAATGATAATGACCTCTAAGGGCGAGCTTGTTGGTGCTACTCCTACCGACGATCAGCCGGAAGGTAAGGCAACACTTGTACGCAGAAGAGGAATCAAAATCGCCATATCCACAAGATGCTAGAACAATTGAAAGAACAAGGGGAGGATAAAGATACTATTGCTCAAATGGCGATCAAATTAAAAGAGAAAACCCTAGATCAGCCAGTTGAAATGCCACCTCAACTCATGAAAACTGGAGAAGGGGTGATTTTCAAAGAGTAAAAAAATGAGGAAAGAATCATGGAAGTTGAACCTTATATTCCCCAGTTCATGAGTAAGACACGTCCTTTATAGATCATTCCAGAGCACGAATTGAAGAAATATGAAAAGGTGAGAAAACAAAATTTTGAGCACTTTCAAAGGTTTCAAGGCAAGTATGTTAATATACTTGAAGGTTTGGAACTACACACCAACGTGTTCACCAATAGTGAAATTGATAACATTGTAATGATAACATTGTAGAACGTGTTTTTTTGGAGCAAGAAATGGGATGTGCTGGTCGGCTAAGAAGAAGGACATATTCTGAGCCGAGAAAATAGAAACGAGAAACGAGGTAAAGGAAGGGTTCGAGGTAAAGGAAGGGTTTTGCTACAATTTTTCCCAAGATAAAGAAGGCAATCCTCTCGAAATAATTCGTCACGATGAGGTTGACCCGTTACCATCATTCATCAAGAGGATAGTCAAACGATTGGTGATCTGACATATACTTCTAGCAGATTCTATTTCAGACAGCTGTATTGTTAATATCTATGAAGCTAGTGACTGCATTCCTCCACACATCGATCATCATGATTTTGCAAGGCCATTTTACACGGTATCATTTATAAATAACTGCAACAACATGTTCGGAACAGAAATTCAGATTATTGGTGATGGAGAATTTCAGGGTTCCGTAGAGATTCCTTTGCCTGTGGGCTCTATGTTGATATTGAAGGGAAACAACACTGATGTGGCCAAACACTGCATCCTTGGAGTGCCATATCCGAGAATTTCACTAACCCTCAGATGGATGAATGAGGATAAGATACCATTTCGGTTCAGAACCGATCCTGAGATTGAGAACTTGCGACCTTTTGAGTTGTAAGTTGCTTAAAGACAGCACACCTCAATATATATCTAGGAGAGATCATTTCTATTTTTTTGATGATATATTAGAAGGTGGGGCTAGTCCTTATATAGCCTACTATTTCAACACAACTGCCGATGACAAAATACAATTAGATGATACACAAGACTGGATTCAATCACGTGTCTTCAGTATGGATGAATAAGAAAGTATTTTGATATATGAACTACACAGTAATGATTTCAGAGGATGTTTTGATTACATGAAATCAAACAACGTTGTATTCGACATCAGATGATATTCATGATATGGCAGTTTAAAGACAATATATTGGAACTTCTTTTCGCAGTTATGAATGCTGATTTGGACAATTGATTGAGAAAATAAATAAATTTGATTTGCCCAAATTCTGAGAAAGGCTAGCGAACAAAGAATGATATATATATAAATAAATTTATAAATGAATAATCTTCAAGATGTATATATATATATATATATATATATATATTTTTTTATGTAAGGAGCATAGCTCCAATTCATTAAATGTAGCCAAGTACAAAGAGAAGGTCTGCTTCCCTCTAATCATCCCCGACTGTGATTGTGTTTCTCCTCAACCTTCTACAACTTCCAGGAGGTGTTTCACTGGTTTGAAAGTCTATTTTCTGCTGCTATTCTCACTTGAGTTTTTCAGTTACTATTCCATTGGTTCTTTCTTCTCTCTGTTTGCCCTACCTGTGTTTACTGTGGCTATTCTTAATGACCTCTCCCATTCCCATTGATTTAGAAACAAACATCCAATGGTCTAAAGCCACTTTTGCTGATGTGGTGGGGAAAGGTTTTGAAACATTGCAAAATATGAAGAATCTTATATTCCCCCAAGACTATCATGATGCTAATCTTGGTAAAGGAGATTGCCCCTATGTTAAAGCTTTAAGCAGAAAAGGAGGCAAGGTGGCTGTTGTGTTCTCTGATATGGAAATCAACACTTTGGCTGAGGCTCGAAAATTCACCTTGGTGGGCAAATTTCAATTCAGCCATCCTAAAATGGATGATATAAGGAAGTATTTTGACGATTTAAAGCTGGTTGGTGCTTGGAAAGTTGGACTAATGGATGGGCATATAATGATTCAGTTAGCTAAGGAAGAGGATTATGCAAGGCTTTTTGCTAAGCAAGTTCTCTTTTTGGATGGCATATCTATGAAACTGCTGAAATGGACTATTGATTTTAACCCTTCAAAGGAACCTCCTATAGTGCCTATATGATTTAAGCTGTCTGGATTGAAGCTTAATTTTTTCAACCACCAAGTTATTTTTACCATTGGCACTGCCCTTAGAAGACCCATGAAGCTGGATGCTCCCACCTTTAACCTGTGAAGACCTTCTGTGGCTAGAATCTTAGTGGAAATGGATATCACCCAACCTGAAATTGATGAAATTTGGCTAGGTACAACTAACAATGGCTATTAAGAGAATTGTCATAATTGTAAGATTTCTGGACACACTGACAATAGATGCTTCAAATTACATCTCAAGAAAAAGAATACAACCTCTGGAATGTCAACTTTCCCTAAACAACCACTTACCACACCACAGCTGGATCCACCTTCTCCCACCAGAATCTTGACCCAAAACCTAGAATCTGATTCTCTACCTACTTCTATTACCCCTATTTTTGACTACCCACCCTTGGTGGAAGTCCTTGCTGATGATCATTTTGATGGAACCTCTCTTTTGCCCTCCCCCTCCACTCTTGCCCCTTCCCAATCTAAAGACCCTCATGCTGAACCATTTTCCCCCATTACTAGGACTGCAGTTCTTGTTGAAGGCCCATCTGAACCTACCACTAACCTGATCCCTTCGCCCCTCCCCTTAACCCTATTGAGGTTCTCTCTTCTCCTGGTGAAGTCTCTACAATGTGTTCTGAAATGGGAAAAGCTGTCTTGCCCCAAGGCTTAACATTGACTCCTTGTTTCAAGGAGCACACTAGCCTTCTTACATTGCAGCCCAATATCATTAATGTTGTAGATGATAATGTGGTTCAAAATCTAAAATTAGATCTAGAGGAAGAATGGAAGATCCATCAGTCCAAAAAGAAAAAGAAGCTGATGCATGAGCTGCAGCATAATGCAGCTACCTCTGGAGAATTCATGTCCAAAAGTCTGGAATCTCTTCCTAGAACAAGGAGGAGAGGAAAAATGATCAATGATTAATCTACTTTGCTGGAATGTTAGGGGATTGGCACACCCTAGGTCCCTTAGCAGATTATTGCATCTGAATAGGGTGTAAAAACTTTGGTGCATTGCTCTTCAGGAACCAATGGTGTCTAAACATAACGATAGAATAATTAAAAAATTTCATGGATTCCACTTTGCTGCTAACTGTAACAATAAGATTTGGCTACTCTATAGGAAAGAAGTCTCTTGGCAAATCCTTTTAGATCATCCACCGTTCTTACATGTATCCCTCTCTATGGCTGGCCAATTTGCTCATGCTACTTTTGTTTATGCCTCTAGCTCTTCTGCAGGGAGAGTGGAGCTTTGGAAGGAGCTCCTTAACCTCAGCACTAACACCTTCTCAAAATGGTTGATCTGTGGTGATTTCAGTTGCATTACTTCCTCAGATGAGAAGATTGGAGGCAGACCTCCTGATAGTAGTAAAATGAACTTATTCTTAGACAACAAACATATGGCTAGACTCTATGATTTGGGTTTCTCTGGCCACAAATTTACTTGGAGAAGAGGTAAGGTTTGGGAAAGAATTGATAGAGCTCTTGTAAATGATCACTGTATTAATGAATTTTTCCATACTTCTGTCTCTCATCTATCAATGTCTTGTTCAGACCACAGACCTCTATTGATCTCTATCAGCAGCTCCATAAACCCCTCCAAAAATAATTTCAGATATTTAAATGTCTGGTCTTCCCATCCAGACTTTCTGAATCAAGTTAGTACTATATGGACCAGCTATCATAACAAAAATCCTTGGGTGAAATTATGGATTCTACATAAAAGGCTTGCTGCTAAACTCAAAGCCTGGAATTGGTAGACCGTTGGAAATTTAAACACAAGGGTGGTGGAAGCTGAAGCCATTGTAAATGATTTGGAATCCAAAATCAGCCTTAATCCTAATTTGGAAACTAATCTCGACAATGCCAATGAAAGACTGTTGAATGCTATCCACTTGCAGGAAAAACTCCTCCATCAGAATGCTGCTCAAAATCATTTCTGTTTGGGGGATAGAAATTCAAAATATTACCATGCTATTATAAATTACAAAAGGAAATGTAATGAAATTCATAAGATCAAAGATTCCAAGGGAGATTGGCTGAAAACTCCCCAAGATATTGTTGATAGTGCTGTTGAGCATTACAAAAGGCTCTTCACTAGAAGTGAGGTGGCTAGGACTGAAGTTAAAGGCAATTTGTTTGACCACTACAAAAATTATACTTCTACTCTCAAGCTTGCTGACATCCCTTCTAAAGAGGAGATCAAGATTGCACTAAACTCTATTGATAACAATAAAGCAGCAGGTCCTGATGGATTCTCTGCTGACTTTTACAAATCAGCTTGGAATGTCATTAAATATGATGTAGTGGATGCTGTGTAGGCCTTTTTCACTGGTATTGAACCCACCAAGTTTTTCACCTCTTCCACCATTGTCCTTATCCCTAAAGAGACTGTGTGTAACAGATGAGACCAGTACAGACCCATAAGTCTCACCATTCTGATCTCTAAATTCATTAGCAAGATTTTGGTGGTCAGAATTCAACCTCACCTTAACAAGATCATCAACAATAACCAAACTGCCTTCATTAAAGGTAGAAGCATTGTGGACAATGTCCTTTTCGCTCAGGAACTTTTCCAAGATTTAGATAAAAGATGCAGAGGAGGAAATTTGGTTTACAGATTGGACATTTGCAAGGCTTATGACACCATCCACTGGGATTTCATTGAGGAGGTTCTGCATGCTAGAGGCTTTAATATGGACTTCATAAGCTTAATCAGAAGATGGCTGAATAATAATGCCCACTCTATTCTCATCAATGGAAAGACACATGGTTTCTTTACTGCCTCTAAGGGAATCAAACAAGGTGACCCTCTATCCCCTACTATTTTTATTTTTGTCTTTGACTATCTTTCTCTTATTCTCAACCAAATTCCAAACATATCTCCTCACAACCTGTTCAAGCACAGTTCAAACATTGCCATCAGCCATCTTTCATATGCAGATGATATCATTCTTTTTTCTAAGGCCACTAAACCTACTACCAAACAAATCCAAAGCCTTCTCAATGATTCTCTGTCTTGCTCTGGACTACAGCCGAACAAGCATGAATGTTGTATTTACAGCAAAGGTGTTAAACAACCTTTCAAACACTGGGTTTCTGAATTTACTGGTTTTCAAACCCCCCACACTCATCTGAAATATTTGGGGGTCCTTGTACTGAAAGGAAGGACAAGACAAATCCAATTTGATGATGTTGTGACTAAGATTCAAGCTAAGCTCACTAACTGGACTAATTCTTTCTTATCAAATGGAGGAAGGATTACTCTCCTAAAACATGTAATGTCTGCCTTCCCCTCCTACATTCTTCAAATGGAAACTATGAAAACGAGCACTCAGCAGCTTCTTGAAATAACCTTCAACAGATTTCTTTGGTCAGGTCAAAGAACATAGAAACATTGGACCAACTGGAATTCTATATGTAAACCAACTCATAATGGGGGTCTAGGTTTCAGAAGTTTCAAACATCTACATCAGATCAATTTTTGCAAGTTGTGGATACACTTTAGAGCTCAAGTGTCTCTTTGGGCTATCTTTCTTAAAGGCAAGTATTGTAGAGGTTTTCATCCCACCCTTGCTACATCCAAATTGGGAGACTCCAGAATCTGGTCTCACATGATTAAACATAAAGATAAAGCTGAAGATTACTTTATATGGGACCTTGGAGAGGGGAACCTCAATTTTTGGCTTGAAAACTGGATGGGGGATGGGAAGCTTGCTGACAAGCTGACTGC